CTACTTATCATTAATCTCCAAAATTAATATTTTAATTAAACTACTTCTTGAGATCCTTACTTTAATTATATCATGTAATATAATTCTATCAATTACTTTCATTTTCCTTAATCATCCACTATCCTTAGGGTTAATTCTCTTAATCCAAACCACGTTAATTAGATTAATATCAGGAAATTTCACTAGATCATTCTGATTTTCATATATTTTATTCCTAATTCTAATTGGGGGTATACTTATTCTATTTATATATATATAACCAGAATTGCATCAAATGAAAAGTTCTATCCTAACACATGAATAATTATCCCAATAAATATAATTCTACCTTCATATTTAATTATAAACCCATTCAGAAACAACTTAACCATAAACAATGAAATACTACCAACTAATAAAAACATCATAATCCAATCATTATTAACTAAATATTCAAATTTTCCTATAATAGCAATTTTAATCTCAATAATCTTATATCTTCTAATTACCCTTATCGCAACAGTAAAAATCACTGAATTTAAGCAAGGCCCAATTCGTCAAATAAACTAATGAAAATACCATTACGGAAAAGTTCTCCTTTAATTAAAATTGTAAACAATTCATTAGTAGACCTTCCATCTCCATCAAACATTACAACCCTTTGAAATTTTGGATCACTATTAGGATTATGCTTAGTTATTCAAATCATAACAGGAATCTTCTTAGCAATACATTATTGTCCAAACGTAGAAATAGCATTCAATAGAGTAGCCCACATTTGTCGAGATGTCAATAATGGGTGATTAATCCGAACAATTCATGCTAATGGAGCATCATTTTTCTTTATCTGCATCTACGCCCATATCGGACGTGGAATATATTATAATAATATATTATAATTTTATTCATTATTATAGCATCAGCATTCCTTGGATACGTATTACCTTGGGGACAAATATCATTTTGAGGTGCRACTGTAATTACTAATCTATTATCAGCAATTCCGTATTTAGGAACATCAATTGTTCAATGAATTTGAGGAGGATTCGCTGTCGACAATGCAACCTTAACTCGATTTTTTTCATTCCATTTCCTCTTTCCATTCATTGCATCTGTAATAGTGATAATCCACCTTTTATTTTTACATCAAACAGAATCAAATAATCCATTAGGCCTAAACAGAAATATTGACAAAATTCCATTCCACCCATATTTCTCACTAAAAGATATAGCAGGATATTTAATCATACTACTAATTTTAACTAATCTAACACTATTAAATCCTTATATACTAGGAGATCCTGATAATTTTATTCCAGCTAACCCRTTAGTAACTCCTGTTCATATTCAACCCGAATGATACTTCCTGTTTGCTTATGCAATTCCCCGATCAATTCCCAATAAACTAGGAGGTGTAATTGCCCTTGTTATATCAATTGCTATTCCATTTACTAATAAAAAAAAATTACTAGAAACCAAATCTATCCAATTAATAAAATTCTATTCTGAACAATAGTTTCTCTAATCCTTCTATTAACCTGAATCGGAGCACGACCCGTTGAAGACCCTTACATTATTTCAGGTCAAATTCTTACAATTTCTTATTTCTTATGTTTTATTTTAAACCCGTTAACATATCAAACATGAGACAAAATACTTTATAAAAACTAACTAATGAACTTGAACAAGTATATATTTTGAAAATATATGAAAGAAATAGAATTTTCTATTAGTTTTT